CGCCAGGCGCCTCGCGAGTGGCACGACACACTGAGGACTACACTTGCGGCTCTTGGGTTTGCTCCTTCTACTGCCGACTTGTCGCTGTTTCTTTGTACTGACACCTCTTTGCCGCCGTTCTACATCCTCGTGTACGTCGACGACTTGATCTTTGCCACAACTGACACTGCTGAACTCACCCACGTGAAGTCCAAGCTGCAGAAGAGACACACGTGCTCAGACCTGGGTGAACTGTGCAGCTACCTTGGCTTGCAGATTACCCGGGACAGAGCACAGCGCACCATTACCCTGACTCAGTCACACATGGTGCAGCAGGTCCTTCAGCGCTTCGACTTCACGTACTCCTTGCCTTAGGCCACTCCTCTGTCTACTCGCCACTCGCTCTCAGCTCTGCCTTTGGATGAGTCCGTAGAGCCGAGTGGCCCGTACCCAGAGCTTGTTGGCTGCCTCATGTACCTGATGACCTGCACTCGACCTGACCTTGCATACCCTCTTAGCATCTTGGCACGCTATGTTGCTCCTAGGAGACACCGACGAGAGCACATGGCTGCAGCAAAGAGGGTGTTGCGCTACTTGTGCAGTACGTCAGGCATGGGGCTAGTGCTTGGAGGGCGGTGTTCAGTGGTCCTCACCGGTCACGCAGACACTTCTTGGGCTGACAACCAGGCTACGCTGCAGTCGTCACAGGGTTGTCAAAATTATATGCTATAGTCTGTGTAGGCTGTAGTGGGGTAGACAATATGGGGTACAACACTTTTAGGTTGTCCTATTTGTACCCACCTGCTTGCTAGTTCATCTCATTCCTCATTCTTCACAAGGGTTACACCTTCAGTCTTGTTTCCGCCTCTGTTTCGTGGCGGTCTACCTGCTTGTCTTCTGTTCTCCGCTCCAGCTGTGAGGCCGAGATCTACGCAGGGGCCATGGCTGTGACGCTTCTTGGGCTGACGACCAGGCTACGCAGCGGTCGTCATAGGGTTACACCTTCAGCCTTGGTTCCGGCTCTGTTTTGTGGCGGTCTACCCGCTCGTCTTCTATTCTCGGCTCCAGCTGTGAGGTTGAGATCTACGCGGGGGCCATGGCTGCACAAGAGCTATGCTGGCTCACCTACCTGCTGACCGACCTGGGAGAGCCGCCTCGTTCTCCTCCAGTTTTGTACGTAGACAACAAGGCCATGCTGGCCTTGTGTCGGGAGCACATATCAGAGCACAGAACAAAGCACATTGCTCTTTGCTACTTTCTTGCTCTTGAGCTGTAGTAGCGTGGTCAGCTGCGCCTTGCTTACGTGGCCTCTCGGGCCAACATTGCTGATATCTTCACCAAGGCACTTCAGCCTTGTGATCATCAGCGCTTCTGTACGATGCTAGGTCTTGTTCCTACTTAGCCTCACTTGCTCACTTCTTGACCTTGCTTGTACTGTGATCTAGTTAGACCTCCACTTGCTTGTTTACCTTTATATATATTCCTGCATGTGAACTGGCCTTGTGGCCTTGAACCTATGCTCGGACTGTGTGGTGACGTTGTGATCCACCCTGAGCTTGCTTTGCTTTGCTTTGCTTGACTGGTCTTGTGACCCCTAGTTCTTCCCCACTTTGCCTATTGGGGGTGTGTCAAGTATATATGACTTAGCCTATGTAGGCTGTAGTGGGGTAGACTCTAAGGGGTACAGGTTTCTAGGGTTTCACATTTGTATCCAACTGTTTCCTAGTTTTTTCATTCCTCGTTCTTTCACATATCAGTCGATGATGGCATACACGATCCTGCTGAGGAATATAACTCCAAACCAGCAGCAGATATCCGGTCTGATCGGGGATACGGCGACTCCGCCGAGCTCGTGTACAACCATTTGAAGAACCTGTATCAAGCAACGGACATCGTCAATCAGAGTCGGTTAATGGCACAACTGACAACAGTGGAAATGAAATCGGCAAAAAAGGGATGGCGTATATCACCTGTGTCGTGAGTTGCACGACAAACACCTTCGATGCGGAGGATCAATATCTGAAGAAAGCCTTCGTCACAATCGACATCTCCGGCCTTTGTCCTCATTGGCGCTCCACTCGAGCCATTCTCCAAGCCCACGGGAAGATCTCCGAAGCGGCACTCTGAGCCAAAATACATGCCGAACAACAAGACATGGACCTGTACGAGGAGCGGCACAAGAGGAAAACGTCAGTACCCGAATTTGCATTCCACACCCAACGGCGTTTCAACAACTCCAACCTACAGAATAAACAACAACAGCAATAGCATGTACCGCTATTCTGTCATCTCTGCAAGACGTCTGAACACCCTCGCACACACTGCCCAAATCGGCAGCAGTCAATACCACCGCAACGACAACTTCGGCCTTCAAGCAGCCAAGTCGCCTCAACACAAGCGCATCCCACTCCTCAAGTTCAAACTTCAACAACGTCAACAACGCAACCTGCACAAGGGACAAGAAACATTGTGAGCTGCATGGCAAGATTGATAGACTCGTGCATCATTGAATCACCACCGTACTACTCACGAGAAGAACAACACGATGAAAGCACCCCTCGCTGAGAGTCACTGGAGTCGAACCCGACATACGCAGCCATTGCCTAGAGCGAACCGACTGGGAACGACACCTGGTTCTTGGACAACTGCTGCGGACATCACATGTGCTCCTCGGGTCGTTTGGTCCAGCGGGAACACCAACTTCAACGCGAAGTAGTCATCACCGTCGCCAACAATCAGAAACTGCGCACACGACGGCAAGGAATCATTCAACTTCAGCCAAGAAAAACAAACGTCATTCTACAAATGTCTAAGGTTTTAATTGCGGAGGGACTCGGCTACAACTTACTCAGCGTCACCCAGTTGATGGCGAAGGGTATCCACCTCGAAGCAGACAGCACCACACAGGAGTTTAAGCTGTACCACGGGAAAGGAGGTCTCTACATCGGCAAGGCGGTGCTGAAGAATATTGTCTTCGTTCTTGACTTCGTTCCAGATCAAGGCACCGCCGATAGCGACGGGATTGTCACCTTCGCTCCCTGGACACATCCGCCGGATCTCGACCCCGACTTCAGCCCCGGCGGCTTCTGGTACTCGAACACCGTACCTGAGGCAGAACGAACATGAGCATTAGCAACAATCAAACAAGCAGAGACAACATCACCAGCAGCAGAGACAACATCAACAGCAGCAGAGATAGCATCGGCAGCAGCAGAGACAGCATCGGCAGCAGCAGAGACAACATCGGCACCAGCAGAGACAACACCGATCACGACCCAAATCACAGGTCCTTCAACGGCACCAGGCCCAATCGACTCATGCGCAGCAGTAGACTCCCACTCCATGAGAAGTCTACGGAAGCGCCAACTTCACCGCCGGTTTTTACTCCAGCTCCGACCTGTACCAACGTTCACCAGGACATCGCGCCACAGAATCAACCTAGCACGCAAGAAAGGGACACCCAAGCAACACGGCGTTAAATAACACGATAAGAGCAGGAGTACTTGACAAAGACTCCCTACTTCTAACCGACGGCAGAGAACTTCAGCGAGTCCGCGGAACATGTTTCACCTGCCCTGAAGTTGACTTACCGCATCAGCCGTTCGTCTCGCATCACAACCTGAGTGCACCAGCATACGCACCTCTGGAGAAAGTGTACAGCGATATACTGTACAGCCGCGAACCTGGACAAGGAGCATACAACTACGTCATCACGTTCATCGATGCCGCCACACGATACGTCTGGCACTGCAACCTCCCAAGCCGCGACATGGCCCTCGACGCTTTCGCCGTTTGGCTTCCAGCAGCAGAACGAGAATCAGGGGTGAAGCTGAAAAGCTTCCAGTCAGACGGAGGAGGGGAATATCTGTCACAAAGGTTCAAGGACTACCTAGCAGAAAAAGGCATCAAGCGGCTCATCTCTCTTCCCAATGCTCATCAGCAACAAGGCGTGGCAGAAAGAATGAATAGAACTCTCCAGAACACCATGCGCAAGCTGCTACGTGGCATGCGGCTACCCAACCACCAGTGGCCCGAAGCAATGGACCACGCTGTAATGCTGCACAACTTGCTTTTGTCATCATCGCTCCCGAACAACGCATCACCGCATCTGCTATGGACAGGAAAATTGGGCAGCACAAAAATGTTGCGAGTGTTCGGATATATGGTACAGTACCGACCTCCAGCTGCACGAGCCGGCCGATTCTCCCAACGCGCGATAGGAACAACGGCGAGTCAACCATCGGAGGTTGACAAGAGAAGTAACTGCTGGAGGTTACGCGAAGGTCAAAGGTCAGCGACCTTTGACTTGACAAATACAGCACGACAGCAAGGACAAACAACTAACTTGATACTGAGCAGTTGCCCGAGTCGTCACTGTATCAAACCGCAACAGCGACAGTAAAACAGTTATCAGTTGCACGCTTTCATATTCCTTGTAATCTTATAAAAGCTTGTATTACTTTTCTATAATCAATCTATATTGCCCTCACACACTAGCCCAAGGTGGTTCAACACTTTTCATTAAACGCTTCCGCAACTACAAAACTTCAACTCAGAGTTTAGCCTTGAAAAGATCCTAAGGGCTTTTCTCAGCCCAACATAGGGGCCAAAGCGTGAGCGTGGCAGGGGAGTGTTAACGGGAGTAGGTTGTTATGTCAACATTGTGAACTCTCAACTTTGCTAGTGGAAACTGTTGGCTTTTTCTTTTCCGTTAATCTACAAGTGCTAAGGAACACATGCAAAGCTACGATCACTCCTACAACTTATATGCCCCCCCCCCCCCCCCCCCCCCCCCCCCCCCATCCCCACCCCAGCCCCCATGTGTAGTCTAGCTCCCGACCGTTGTAGAGTGAATCTCCGGAGCCAACACATAACGTCTCTCGCCCTTCCCCTCGAAATCCCACCAACTTCTCTGGTAATATCATTTCAGGTTTTATTATTGCAGAATTTCGCTCGGTTCGTTTCCGTGGGAGTGGGAGGGTGTCCTTTTCGAGCATTAAATGGACATTGCAAGCACCTCAATGCACCATGCATTGGTGCAGCTGATCTGGTGCTTGCATTTTGGCTCCCCGTTCCCCAGTATCTCGATTACCCTAAGTATCCCGGTTCTCTCATTATCCCCATTACCGTCACCTTCCCGTTCCCCCTATCTCCCCATTCCCTACATCGCCCCGTTCCCCCCATCTCCCCGTTCCCCCCATCGCCCCGTTCCCCCCATCTCCCCGTTCCCCCCATCGCCCTGTTCCCCCCATCTCCCCGTTCCCCTCATCGCCCATTCCCCCCATCATCTCCATGACCCGTTTCTCCCCATCCCCATCCCCATCCCCATGCACCTGGGCGGTGTGCGTGCAGTGCGCGCACTGCTGCAGCTGCAGGAGGCGTTGGTGGGCGCGTGGGTGGGCAACAGCAACGCCACCACGGCGTGCTCTGCGTGGGCTGGCGTCACCTGCAGCCCCAACGGGGCCGTCCTTGCCCTGTGAGTTGCAACGGGGCTGTCCTTGCCTTGTGAATCGCAACGAGGCCGTCCTTGCTCTGTGAGTCACAACGGGGCCGTCCTTGCCCTGTAAGTAGCGCGCGTGCGCGGGCCCAAGGGCAGGGTGTTGCTGCCGTGTGCGTCACAGGAATGAACACAAGGGGTGCACTGGACTGGTTCTTACACAGCACTCAGAACCTGTTCGTTGAGCCTGCATGTGCACATGTACTCAAGGCGTGAGTATTGAACTCGGAATTGAAACGTCTAGTGCCTGGGGTGTGGAAACGACGGGGAATCATCATGGGGTGGAAAACCGAAAGGCAGAATGCTGTGCTGTCCCTTTCTTTGATCCCTCTGTCGTTGGTCATTGTGAATGCATGGCTGCACATGGATATGTGAGTGTGCGTGCGTGCACGCATGAGCGTGTGTATGTTCGACCGCCTGCATATGTGCATATGTGTGGCGCACGTGTGTGTGTGCACGTATGCACTGGCAGGGACTCCAACGCCTTTGCAATGGATCCTCCTCCCACTGGCACCATTCCTGCTGCCATCACTGACCTCACCACCCTTCGATACCTGTGCGTCCACTCTACCCTCTCGCTCTCCCATTTCCTCTCATCCCTCCTGCCCCATGTTTTCTGTTTCCCCTTTGCCCCTCCCTTGTGCGCCTGTTTATCCTCATTCCCCTCTTCATACAACCTTTCTCATGTCTCAGTCTTTGCCTCACCATGTCATTTTCCGCCCTCCTACTCTCCCTCATTCTACTTACTTGTTTCCAGCACCCCCCTTACCCCCACGAACTCAACCAAACCATTGCCACCTTTCCTCCTCCCCCCCTCCTTCCCTCCTCCTCGTCCCTCCCTTCTCGCTCCCTGTTTGTCTCCCTGAAGCGATGTGACGTACGGCATCAACCTGGAGGGCCCCATGCCATCCCTCTCACCTCTCACCTGCCTCACTCACCTGTACGTCTCACACCCTCCTCTCTTATCACAAGAAACACGCCTCCCATCCCCACACAGCCCCTCACCACCACCCCTCACCACCCCTTATTGCCCCTCACCTCACCGCCCCCCCGCTCACTCACAGGGACTACATGTGATCACGGAACCGTCATGTTCTTCCGACCTGTCCTTTTTTTCCTTCGAGGACTTTGTTCCAAGCCCCCGCTTTTCACTCAATCAATCAAGATTGTCGCTGCCCTTTGCAGCACATGCCCCATCCTACAGTATGGGCCGCATTGCCCCCTGCGCATGCCCAATCCCCCAGCACATGCCTTATCCCCCTGCACATACCCAATCCCCCTGCACATGCCTTATCCCCTTGCACATGCCCAATCCCCCTGCACATGCCCCCTCCCTATTCGTGCCCCTCCCCCCTGCACATGTCCCACCCACCCGCCTGCGTGTGTGCATCGCTCCGTGTAGAGCCCTGGGAGCAGACGGCTGCTTGCTCACCGGCACTGTGGACGAAATCTCGTGGCTCTCCTCCCTCTCCGCCTTGCAATTATTGTAAGCCCTGCCCTTTCAGTCTCCCTCTCCACGCCTGCCCTGCCCAGTGGGCGGAGAATGGGCATGGGGCCTGTCCTGTCTCGGGGAGTATGTGGAGGACAGGTGCTCACAAAAGCTTCACAATGCCACAACTAGTTCATCCCTAGTTCTAATCAGAACCTTCTGTTCACCTCTTTTTGCTCGAGCGTCAAGAACTGCTGCCTCGTGACAATTTTCCAGCATGTTTTCTCCAAGGCTCGGATTCAGTTTTCCAGTGGCATCGGCAGCACCACCATGAACGGACTTCTGAAGCGATGCCATCCACCTGCGTAGGCATGAGCACGGGCCAGCCAGCCTCGAGGGTGGTTGTTCGGGCCGGAGTTTCTGGGAAGTCTGCCACACAAGCTGCCCCGGCCGGCTGGTTCTAGCCCGAGCAGCCACCCATAGCAACCACACAGTCGGTCGTCACCAGACCAGGCCAATTTTTAGGCCCCATCAGGCCGAGTGACCGAGTCTCGCGCGGCAAGCACTTGAGTCAACCTGACGGGGGTGAAACTTATCGAATCTGTCTTGCTTCAGGAGCCCGCACACCTGCCATTGGGCCTTGGATGAGCGCACCCCTCACCTAGCAGCCCGCACGCCCCTCGCTGACTGTGCGTGCCTCGGGCCATTTCTGGTCCACCCTGGAGGTAGGGCAGAGGTTTGGCAATCGTCTGGGCCTCAGTTCAGCCCGCCAACAAGGCCGGCCGGCCCTGGCCCGGCGTGTTCATGACTAACCCACCGTGCCCACTGGGATGGGACATTTGGATTCTCAGCCCTGGTCGTGATTGCGACCTGGCTGATAGAGCAGTGCTGAGGACTCCAAAGTGCCGCCAATTCACGCCAGCTATATCGCCCTGAATTGGTTAGCGATTATCGAGGTGACTATCTGGCTGAAACGCTTGGCTGAAAAAAATTATGTAAAATTGGTCGCGTTGTCGAGTATTTGAGTCGTGCCTTGTTGTACTCAAAGCAAAGGCGAGTAAAGAGTGTAGTCACTATGTCTGGGCAAGGTTATGCTTCTACAGGGAGGGGAGGGGGAGACATGGGCAGGTGATGGTGGGGAAGAGGGGAGGAGGTGAGGTGCTGGGGTGCGTGCATCGAGTAAAAAAAAGGGCTCACCTTGGCTAAAACAATCTTGCATGAACAGGAAAATAGCAAGGCAATTTCTTCTTACTGCACGCCTTGCAGCAAAGGCTCAACAACTATCCAGGAGTACCGCAGCAGGTACCTTCCATCTTACAATCCTGCCCAGTTATGCCGTACAGTGCTGCATGCTCTGTTGTTTCTAGTTCTCTCACCATCCACCACCTCCTCCCGTGTGTCACGTCCCACTGCCTCACCTCAGCACCACCACGCGGCTATCTGGGTTGTCGGAACTCACAGGGGAGCTGACCTCCTTTGCACTGCTCTCCCACCTCCAACACCTGTGAGTCTACTTTCAGAGTAACCACCCAGAGGTGACTCTTGTTTCGAGGAGCCTAAAAAAGGGTTTGCTCCGAGAGCACCCATAAGTGGCTCCCTTAACACTCAAAGTGCTGTCACATCACAAATGTTCTCTTTCCAAAGGTTCCTTTTTATTTATCCCTCGCTATCGGACCCGGCTGTCAGGTGACAAGTGCACCTACTGACTTTGCCATGTGCTGTTTGCATGCATACGCACGGTTTGCAAATCGCTCATTGGTCTCAGCAATGTGACAGTAGAGATACCCCGGGAGATTTTATACTTGACTGCCCTCACTACACTGTAAGATGAAAACAACACAATAATCTTCTGACTTCTGCATGTGCGATTGGCTCTGCACCGAGATAGGTGTTCTGCTGCAAATTCTTGCTCCTCTTAGGCGGGCCAATCCAGCTCATGGGCACACACCACCAGCACACCAAGCTCCCTCTTCCCTTCTCATCCTCCCTCTCCGCCCTTCCTGTAAGGACCTCATATTTCTTCGGGCTGTGGACTTCCCAGACTGGGTTACTCAGATGTCCAAACTCCAGTCACTGTGAGAGTGTTCCTAGCTTTCTCATGTGTGCCTGTCCTACCGCTCTGTTATTACCCCATTCTCCCCGTCTCCCATTCCTGTACATTGAGGAGATAACTTAAGCAATGAGAGCTAGACTACGGGCTAGGCACGGGTGCTCGTGTGATCTCTGCGTTCCTTGGTCGTTTTCTTAGTGCACACACTGCTTGCTGGTTCACGGGGCAATTTGTCAAGAGTTTCACTAAGAAAGTTAACAACAATGATTCAAAATGATAGGAACAAAATTGGCATGCAAGACTACATCGGGACATAGCAAGGCTGCTGGTCGACTTCCAGCGCAGCACGGTCGACCGCGTGCCAGCACGAATTGGTCGACCGCGCTCCAGCAGAGCAAAGTCGCGGCTTGCCAGCGTTGCAGGTTCACGGTGTGCTAACGCTACAGCAAGTCAGCTGCACAGCGTTGCACCCGCAGGACAACGATGCACCTGCTTCGCAGGTGCACGCAGCTGGTTGGTGCACAACTCCTTATCACGTGCACAGCGCAGACGCCCAGCTCGACTCTACACTAGCGACTGCACCCTACCAGCCACGTCGACCTCGGGATACTACTTCCGAGGCCGGCCTTGCCATATCATTTGGGCGACTGTCGCGTACCTCCACAGAACCTTGTCACCCAGGTAACCTGGTCGACCGGGCAACCATGTCGACCAGCTGCTTCTTTACGTGCCCGTCGACCACCCAATTCGACAACACCCTCCGATCGACCTTGCCAGGTCGACCTCACCCTTGGTCGACCAGCTCCAAGTCGACGACAACCCTCCAGGTCGACGAACTCCAGACCGACCAGCACAACAGTTAGCCGACCACACCAAGTCGGCTGCCCCAAGTCAGCGTCCCCAAGTCAACGCCTTCCATCGGTCGACATCCCGAGTCGACCACGCGAAGGTCAGCGCCCAGAAGTTGGTGCCAGTTGCAGTGGCCCCCGTGCAGGTCAGCCTCCTCGTCGACCAGCTCGCCCACTACTGCAGTTTGGTTGCACTCCCCCGTACACCCGACCACAAGGTCGCTCCGCCCAAGCGAGGATGGGGCCTCACAACAACTCCCGTTGATATACATTACCCCACAACAAGTGACCTTCTAACCATCCACTCAAGCACTCAAACCGCGCCACAACATGACGTGCACTGTGTGCTAAACAGCCCTTTCTTCCACTGCGTGACGTGCATTGTGTGCTAAACCGCCCTTTCTGCCACAGCGTGATGTGCCTTGTGTGCTAAACAACCCTTTCTGCCACAGCGTGACATGCACTGTGTGCTAAACAGGCCTTTCTGCTACAGCGTGACTTACACTGTGTGCTAAACAGCCCTTTCTGCCACACCCCTTTCTGCCACAGCGTGACCTGCACTGTGTGCTGAATAACCCTTCCTACTCTGCGCTTGTGAGGAGGCGTGTGAGAACAACGAGCAAAGAAGTTGACTTGCACGTCGACTCAAAACTACGCCGCACCTCCTCTAGACGCACCTTGTACAGAATCGCCCCTCCTATTCCCTTCTGCTTGCCCATGCCTGTGAGCAGGCGAGTGATCAACGACGAGCCAAGGAGGCAGGGAGTGCTGCCAGAAGGCCTTGCAGAGTTGACAGCACTCACTCAACTGTGAGTGCGCATAGCATAGCGCAGCACAGCACAAAACAGCCTCACGTACCTCGTTGCACAGCCTCACGTACCTCATTGCACAGCCTCACGTCCCTTGTTGCATAGCCTCACGTACCCCATTGCACAGCCTAATGCCACATTGGTGTACATGCATACATCCTTTACTTTACCCCCCCCCCCCCCCCTGTCATGCACTGCACACTGCAGGTCCCTATCGGGGAACAACCTGGAAGACGCCCTGCCCAAAGGCTTCTCCACACTTGCCAATTTGGCTAATCTGTAAGCGAGGCACTTCCTGACCAGCCTGCTCTGTGTGGGACACTTGACCATCAGGCTCACGTGTGAGACAGAAAAGTGCCGACTAGAGTTGATACTCTCTCTTCTACGAGTGCACTTGCAATCCGTCAATTTTGGCCCGTGTTTCCGTGTCTTGCAAGTCAATCTTCTCCCCTTCATGCCACTTCTCTTGCAGGGATCTGAGCTTGAACCATGTGCATGCAAGGCACCATCCCCGAAGCATACTATGTGTCGCATGAAATACCAACAAGCGGTTGGTATTGCATCGACGAGAAGAGCAGAGGTGGTGTAGCCAAAGTGCGATAGTGAAGACCCTTACAACGGAGCATTTTCCATGCGCGATAAGCCAGCTGGGGTTACAGCAAAGGTGTACAGTGGGAGGGAGTACCGACGCATGCAGTCGTTGCGTGAGTACAGTGATGGCAGCCGTGGGAAAGAGTTTCACATGACTTGCGAGGGTTTGGCAGGCAGGTGGCAACCATAGGAGGGGTGGACGGCGGAGATTACCGCATGTACATAGGTGGGCTGGATGTACGGTGTAGATATTGCGCATGTCGGATGTTTGTTTGCCTGTTGTTTGCGTGTGTGCAGGTTCAGGCCTCACGCTATGCCTCACGCTGAGAATAGCAGCTAGAGAAAGTCCCTTGTGTATATAGACCTTTAGCTGGCTAGTGCTGAGCGCTTGTTTGTTTGTTTTCTCGTACTACTGGAGTTGTGAATGCTTTGAATCCTAAGCGTAGCAAGCCAGATCAGAGGAACCAGTCGATGGAGTAGGGACTTTTTCGAATGGCTAGAGGCAACCTGAGCACAAGAGGTCGGAGGGAAGGAAAGGAGGGAGGGTCAAGAGCACGAGGATCAAACCAGAATCATCTCACGAAGAGGGTGAGAGGGTAATGGCACAAGGGAAGAGACAGGGAGAGAGGGGATCTCTAAGAGGGTGGAGGAGGTGGGGCCTATGGCTTAGGGAAAAATCATGGAGCGCCTACTGCAAGTTCAAGGCACCTTGCTGACGCTGCTGCCACCGGCTTCAGCATCCACCATCACACTTGTCCTTTCC